TTTTTTTTTTTAAGAGAAAGAAATATTATCAGAAAAATGTACTTCCATAGCTGATCATCCGACACCCCCCTTTGCGAGGCGCTGGGTTCTTGCAGGTGTGGATGTAGTCTGGCTGTTGTCCTGTGTCTTCTGGTCTCTCTTTTAGGAAGAGTTATCTTTGTTGTATTTTCAAAAATATATGTGGTTTTGGGAGAGATTTCCGCTGCTCTACTCATGCTGCCATCTTTGCTCCCTTATATCCCTAGTGAGATTTTGTAATTATCAAACCCCTGCACTTAATGTAGAACTTGCACAAGTATGTTCTTTTCTAAGGAAGATGATATGCACATAGAAGACAGTTACTCACCTTGCCCTGTTACAGGTGTGATAAAACATTATTGAGGGAGTTTGTTTTTCTTTTGAAATGCATACATTTTCATTCATTCGCAGTGTATTTTATTTTAGTGTTTGCCAAATTGCTGGCATGAGATTTAAAATCAGCAAGTACCCTTTCAATGTTTAGTAAGTAAAGGCTGCTTTGTGAATGATCATAAATTAGTCTTGAGGCTCATGCAAATAAACTGTTTAGAGCATAAGTACTAGTTACACTGGCGACATTAGTTAACATTACTCAAGTCAGCTCTTAGCCAAGGTACTGGTTTCTTTACTGTAGTGATTACACATAGGATATAAAGTATTTTCTAGTTAGACTATAAAAATGACAATTTAGGCTATGAGTATCATATAGAACAGTTTGTTACAGTTTATGTTAGAAATTTATTTTCTTAAAAAAAATTATACCAATAACTTACAACTTATATATAATGTGCCAATAACTTATAAAATATACAATAACTTATAATTACAAAATCATATGTACTAATGTACAAGGTAGTGTGTATTAATGTGTGATTATAATAAAAGTTTATTTACAAAAACAGGCAATTAGTCTGCAGGCCATAGTATCCCACTTTGATTTTTAAAAATAATATTGCATTAAAATATTGGTCTTGATTCCCAAGCCTTTTGGTGCCTCCTTAAATTTTGCTCCTGAGACACATGCTCACTTGCCTCACTCCGGTCTTGGCCCTGATGTAATGTCTGTATTTTCTCACAGCCACCAGTTACTAAAAGACTAGTAACCAACTGTAAAGCAGTAACTGATAAAATCCACAAAGCATATAAGGACAAAAACAAATATAGGTAAGTAGTACACACATTTTCTCTCTTTACTTTTAAGAAAAATCACAAGAGCCTGGTTTTTTTGTAATTTTATAATAGCTTATTAAGCATTCCTTTAAAATTTATGTGAGGTTATTTTCTTTAGAAATATTAAATACTAAGTCCTTCTCAGGATGTTGAGTCGTAAGTTTTATAAAATGCTTTTCTTATTGAAATTTTGTTTTTCATATCCACATATTTACATTCTCAATATGTTTTGATAATTAGGTTTGAAATCATGGGAGAAGAAGAAATTGCTTTTAAAATGATTCGTACCAATGTTTCTCATGTGGTTGGCCAGTTGGATGATATAAGAAAAAATCCCAGGTACTGTTTTTCTTAAGTAATAAACTTTAATTTTTTTTTTTTACAGCATTATGAAATTTGTGATTTATTTTAAAAGCTTGCCTTTAATAGATAAAAACATTGCAATAAAATTGGACTTGCTATCACTCAATCTGTGAACAATACAGACTCAGTGCACTGCTGTTGGAGTAACCCATGGTGGTGACATACTAATAAACTTTAATTTTTAAGGCGCTTTTAGGTTCACAGAAAAATTGAACAGAAATACAGAGAATTCCCCAAACTTTAAAGATTGTCATGCAAGTAAACATGAAAAAAACCAGTAGGGCCGAGAGAAGGAAGTGACTTACTTCTTTTTGCAGCAGACATTAATGTCTAATGGTGGAGGTGGTGTTTGACCTCAGAGATAGGTGTTCTGAACTGAGATAAGGTCCCCCATGTGGAGGCATTAGCATGGACTTCTAAGAGTCAGGTGATTTGAGCTGTTCAGCTGGGTAGGAGGCCAGAGAGCTGGGACCTTCATAGCACTTCTAAGAAGGTTTTTCCAGAGAAGTTGTTTTGATGGTTAGACTTATCTTTGAAATTCAAAGTAAAATTCAGATTGTCCTCTGAGGAAATAGAATTGTTACCATAAATGTGAAAATCCAATAAACTGCACTCATTCTTTGGAGATGAATAAATGTTCAGGTTTGCATAAACGTTGAAAATTTCCAGCCAGACCCCTTAGCAGTTGCTTTGGATAGTTAGATAAAATTGGTTAAATCTACATTTTTGAGTTTTGAACTTTAGTGGGAAAAAGGTATTTCATCCATTACCTTTAAAAAAAAACCTCGGCATAGTGACTGCATTGGCGTATGGGTGGGGACTTGATAATATGGGACAATGTAGTAACCACATTGTTTTTTCATGTGAAACCTTCATAAGAATGTATATCATACCTTAATAAAAACAAACAAATAAATAAATAATAAACAAATAAATAAATAAATTTAAAAAGCTGAATATTTTCACCTGAGTCTTTTAAATGCTTTTTAAAGTTTTCAGTTTCAATTCATTTAAATTATAATTTTAATTGTAAATGATCAGAGATGCAAAATTTCTAGACATTTTAAAGCCATGTTATTTTTTTTCCTCTCTAAAAGTCCTGTGTTTATTGGGGGTTGGGGGTAGAAATTGGAATTTTAAGAAAAATGACAATAAATATCTTTAATGCTTCTTTAGTGTCTTCAGCATTTACTAAAATGCTTTATTTCCTACAGGATAACAAATACTTCCCACAAGCCAAGCAAACAATAAGCCACGTAAATAATAATTACCTGGCTCATCGCTCTCTTTTTACATGCTGCTCCCTCTGCCTGGATGCCCTGCACTAATTTTTTAAAGTCACTTTAAGAACCAGTCTTATTCCCCCATTCTGTTGATGTGCTGTCTTGGTAATTAGCGACCTGTAGCAATGCCATGTGAGAATTTGCAGCTTTTAGTTTTATCCTGCACTTTCCTGTCTTTGTGTCAGTTTGAAAGTTGTTGGGTGAAAGATTCATAGACCTTCCTTGTACTTAAAGGGACAGAGGGACAGGATTTTACTAAAAAACATGTGGCAGGCCAGGCTTCTCTAGCATGTCTGCCAGACCCAGGTAACTTCCAGTGACCCTGAGGAGATTGTGTCATTTTTAACTCTTGACTGGTTTGGTTCTACCTTTATGAGGGCTCATTTTAAGTCAGGAGAGGAAAACCAGTCTTCTAAATGACTTAAACATTTAAGGATAGGTTTATACCATTAACCAGGAGGCTGGGCTGGGCTGGGCCCAGGCTTCACTCTACCCTCTGACCCTTCATGTCGGCTGCTGTCTTGCGTGCATTGGCTTCATCCTCACAACAGTTCTGGGTGGATCAGCCCTTCCTGTGTGTTGTGTGCTGTGCCTGCCACTCCCATAGCAGTCACTGCCATGGGGAGGGAATTCCCTTCTGCTAGGCAGGAGGTGCCTCTGGGTTGCAGTGGGGTCGCCTCCCAGAGTCAGCTCATCAGCGGAGAAATGCTGAGTAAAATGCAAGTTCTCTGTGGAAGGAGATGGACTTGGGGGAAATGTTTGCTGGGCACCCAGCAGGGTCTGCTTTCGCTACCCTCTTTCTACACACACCCTGTGTCATATGTACATTTTTTTCTTTAATTTTCCCCAACTTCTTGAAAAATTTTGAAGATGCAGAAAAATCAAAAAATAGTGCAGTAAACCCCAAAATACTTACAAGATTTTTAAATTTCAGTGTTTTGTCATATTTGCTTGATCTCTCCCTTCATCTATCCATACACACACACACACATCATTTTTATTTTGTTGTTTTGCTGGACCACTTGAAAATAAGTTGCGGACATCCAGATGCTTCACCTCTATTTTAGCATGTCTCCTAAAACAAAGTCATTCCCCTTTGTACCACACAACCATTAATACATATTCAAGAACCTTAACATTGACTAAGTCATACCATCTAACAGTCTATATTCTGGTTTCTCCAGTTGCTTCCAAAAGTCCTTCATAGTAGTCGTCCGTAATCCAGGATACATTCTAAGCTCATTGTATTTGGTTGACATATCTCTTTTAATATTCTGTCATTTAAAGCAGTCCTCAAGTTTAGAGATAGACAGGATGATGTACTTTCACAAAATCATCACTCATCTCAATGAGGAGCAATTTATGTTTGATCTTGTTTCATCTAAACACACCTACACCTTCACTACCACTTCCCGATTATTTTTATGTAAATCTCAGATATATCACTTTATCTGTAAATTTTTCAATATTTTTCTCTCAATTATAAGGACTCTTTAAAAATAACCACAGTATTCCTTAATATGGTAAACTATCTGGTTTGTGTGCTCATTTCCCCAATTGTCTTTTATAAGCATTTATATGTTCTTTTTAAGTTTGTTGGTTTAAAATGGTATGAAGTTGCAATTAGCGATGGGTTTCTCCTAATTCTCTTTTTTAACCATATAATTTTTGTATACATGAATAAATCCAATTATATATTCCATTTCTTTCCTGCACTTTAGACTTCTCTGATTGTATCCCAGTTATTTGACGTGTTCTTTCATCCCTGTATTCCCTGTAAAATGGTAGTTGGATCTGGGGCTTTATTAGATTTAAGGTTTTTTTGTTTTGTTTTTAATTTTAACAAGTGTATTTCAAAAAGTGGTGTTAGCCCTACTTACTATTTTAGTGGGCCCTCAGTTTAATGACTTTTGCCTTGAAGGAAACCTGAAACAGTAGAGATGTATTGCTGTAATTTGCTTTAACCAGAACTCTACCATCTTACAGCCTGCTTGGAAACATAAAGAAGTCATTAAACTCATGGAATCTATATAAGGCACCGTCTCTATCTCAATTATCTGTATCACTATTCTTAGTAATATAACTATCAGTTCAAAGAACTTGGTTTTAAGTACTTAATAATCTTTCTTTTCCCTGGCTGCTGACCTAGTACTCCATCCAGTTAACTGCATTCATTGAACATTTAACTGGAGATATGCTACACAGAAATCATTAGATTAATTTACTCCCACAGCTAGAAGGCACTTTAAAGATCACCTTCCCCAGTTTTTTGTTTTACAGGTAAGGAATATCCAAAGAAAAATTTTATAAAACATCATTCCCCTAGAGAACCACATCAGTAAATGTAACAACTGGAGACATAAGTCCACTTTAGACATATTTGGAATCCACATTTCTTGTTTTGTTAAGTTCAGGATCATCCTTATGGTAACAATAACCCTGGGTCTCCATTATTTCCAGGAAATTTGTTTGCCTGAATGACAACATCGATCACAATCATAAAGATGCCCAGACAGTGAAAGCTGTTCTCAGGGACTTCTATGAATCTATGTTCCCCATACCGTCCCAGTTTGAACTACCAAGGGAATATAGGAACCGTTTCCTTCACGTGCACGAGCTGCAGGAGTGGTAAGTCCTCATGTTTCATATGTGTGTGTGTGTGTGTGTTTTAGAGTGATGGAATTTCTTTAATGTGTTATTTGCTCTAAATTTCTTTGTAAAGATATATGCACAGTTTTTATTGTACTTAATAGTTGAAGTATAATTTTTATTGACCTCACTGGCTGAGCACACCTGCTGAGACTTTCCTATGGTTATCACTGTCATCGAGTAGCTACCTTGTTTCTTGAGTACCTGCTATAAGGCAGACACTGCTGGGCAGTAGATTAACTGTACTCTTTACAGTGAAAGGTACTGTTATTGTCATGAGAATGTGGTAATAGAAGCTGAGTGAATTGCTCCAGGTGAAGCAGCTGATAGGTGGCAAACCCAGCCTGGTTACCAACCCCCTGCCCACTCCACTATATTCCAAGCTGCTTTTAACATTTCCTTCATCTTTCATTTTATTACCATTTCCAATACCAACTCAGGGAGACAGTCAACCGGGCAAACAATTGTGATACAGAGTGCTATATATAGTAGGGTTCAACACTATTGGAATACAGAGGACAGAGCAGCTAATTCTGTAAGGGGAAGGTGACATTTGGACTTGGTTTTGAATTATGAAAAGGATATGTCCAGGTAGGAAAGCATGTTTGTGGAAGAAATGGTGCATGCAAAGGCACAGAGATATTAAAAGGGAGTGCTTTGAAGGGAGATTGTGAAGGGCTGTATATGAATTAGACTTTTTTTTCTTTAGAGAGATTTTTAGATGTTTGTTTTCATCAGACTTCATGATTTGGAAAGATAGGTAGCAATAGTGTGTGTGTGGTGGGGGTGGCGGACTGGTGAGGAAGTTGTTTGGAGTGAGGCAGTGTTGACTGGAAACTGGAGGCAGGGAGTCAGGCAATAAGCATTTCAGTAGTCCTGAAACAGTCAAGGTGTGAACCAAGGACACAGGCCAGGGAGTAGAGAAAGTGGTAGGCAGAGCTGGGAGAGATTTTAGAGAGGAAATTAGCAGACCTTGGCAACTACAACTCTGTTGCTTGGAGTTGGGTGAGACAATTTGCGTGCATATTGCTGATATCTACATTATTTTTACTTTCCAAGGGGAAGTTATTATTAAATTATGGATCCTGTCTTACAGAAATGGCAAGGAATGGCTTCTTACCATTTTCACTGCCCTCTAGCTCAGAGGAAAAAGATCTTTGGATGGTTTCAAGTGTTAACTCCCTAAATCCAGTTTGTGATTAAATTTACTTTCAGGGACCCAGTTGAATAAGAAAGGAGTGGGCTTAAGAGTCATTTGAGAGGACTTTGATTCCTGTGTTGTAAAGATGGGACAAATCAGTTATAAGATGTTCTTTGTAATTCCCTGATCTGGGGACTGCTTTTTCCTCATCCTGCTTAGCTTCTGTATTGTTCTTTCACTGCTGACCCACCAGCCCCACTCTACTTTCTAGAAACTGTCGTTTTTCTCTTTCCTTTCATGACACTCACTCACCCTTCCTGATTCCTTTCTTCCTATTCCCCTTGCTTGGGTATAGCACTTATGGTCTGTCTGCTGTGCCTGTCGCTCCTAGTAGACTGTCTTGTACTCATCTCTGAGTCCATGGTGCCTTCTGAGCACACAGGAGGGGTTCAGTGGATGGGTAACTTGCTTCACCTGCCAGCTATTTATTATGGTTGCTGGGACAACTCATAGCTATGGCTTCTTTGCTCATTAAATTACACATAGATTCTGAATGGCACTGTAGACATTATAACTGACTAAGCTGGTTGTGATGCGATTGACAGACCTAGGAAATTCAGAATTATGAATATGTGACTTGAGATAGAGCCATCCACCACCAGACAGCTGTAAATGTGAACCTGGAACTCAGCACAGAGGTCTCAATTTAGTAGTTATTAGCATATTTTCAAAGTTTATGTTAAGCATTTATTTAATCCTTATAAGAAATTACTCAGTATTTCCGTACTACAGATGAGGAAACTGCTATACTGCCTATTATATCCCTAGAACACTGTCTCCAAGTCCAGTTGATTCAACTCTCAGAGTGTCTCTTCCGTTGCTTATTTCTTTTCATTCTCATGGCTCCTCAGTCTTTTTCATTCCTGGACTAACATGACTGCCTGCCCCTGCTCACTGCTTGTGACATCCACCCTGCAAATGGCCACCATTTTCACCCGGATTCACACACACACACTCATTCTCTCTCTCTCTCTCTCTCTCTCACACACACACACACACACACACACACACACACACACACACACGCCACCATTTTCACCCGGATTCATACACACACACTCATTCTCTCTCTCTCTCTCTCACACACACACACACACACACTTCTCTGCCATTTCATCTGCTTTCCTTATGTCCAAACCCTAGTGTTGCATGTTTCGGGAACCTCTGCAGCTCATGCCCACACACCTCTCCATGGCTTCAGTTGTCCCCAGTGCCACCAGGCTTCATTCAGCTCTGCAGGCCTCAGCTTCCTGCTCTGACACAGCTGATGCTCATTTCCCGTCTCGGCCAAACTTTTTACCTCCCTGTGTCAATGCTTAAGTGCAATGTCACCATCTCTGAGGTGCTTTCCTCATTTCTCTAGGTTTTTCCATAGGACTTTGCTTTGATAATACCTTTTCTATCCATCTTGTGTGATGGCTTGTCATCTGCATGTCAGTAGCTCGCCAGGCTTATAGATGTTTTAGAGCAGGAACTTCAAATTTTTTATCTGTGTCCACAGGTAGTGTTTATTGAGTAACTGAGTGAATAAATGAATATGAATAAGTAAATAAAAAGAAATGGCAGTATGCTTTTGTTTAAATGCTAGAAGTAATTTTCTTTTGAAATCCTCTCCTCTGCCTGGGTAACTTTTGCTAATTCACATATAATACTATAATGTAGTGAAAAATCTGAACTCATGTTGGAAATGTATATTGTATTAGCATTTTAAAATTGCCTCTACACAATGTTTTTTGTGATTTACACCTAATATATAAATAACTAGTACAGTGAAATTATGCACAGAGTTATGTATTTGCTTTCTTCTCTGAACAGGAGAGCATATCGAGACAAATTGAAGTTTTGGACTCATTGTGTATTAGCAACATTAATTATGTTTACTGTATTCTCATTTTTTGCTGAACAGGTAAGTTTATATATTTTATGTGGGGATCAGTCAGTATTTCTTGGTATATTAGTATCTGATTCTTTTAGAAAATTATATAAATTCACAAGAAAATTTTAATTTCTTCTATTGGCTTATAGCTCATATGTCAGTATATAAATATATTTCATAATATTCAGGCAGCAACATAATAGCTTTTTATTCATTTATCTTCTAGATCCATTACTAGTATTCTTTTTACCTGGGGCTCAATAGGTTGACTTGCAGACTTAAATTTAAAACTAAAAAGCTCTAAATATTTTTAACCAGAAAAGCCTATGTAGAATCTTTATCCGGTGCCAATATTTTATGGGTCTCCAGTGTTTTTTATTTCTTGAAACTTTCAAAAATGACCACAGTGTCTTATCTTCAGACCTCCCACTGTCCTGTAGTGCCTGTTGTACTCTTACACTTCCTTTGAGTTGCTGGGAATTCCCCATTCCAGCACACACACAGCCTCCTCCAGGTAAGGGTCCAGGAGGAGGAGGGAGGTTCGTGAGGTAAAACGAAAGGGATGGAAGGATGATAGTCCACAGGTATGAAATGTTCTTAAGAAGGACTGAAGAAGGACTGGGATGGAATCTGGGCAGACCTGACTTGCACGGGGCAAGCGAACCTCACCTCAGTCTCCATTCAGGGTGACTGTTGAGCACAACTTTTCTAGCTTCACTTATGGGGAACTTAGGCTGAGTTTACTGACACCGAGGAGAAGGAGGCTGAAGTCCTGAGAACTTTAAGATAAACAGTGCCTTGGTCTTTTGCCCCAGATGGAAGGACATTGAGGAAAGAGACTGGCAAGCAGGTTGGCAATTTAACCTGCCATCTGCTTCTCAGGGGATATAAATCTTGTTCTTGATATTTGTTGCCATTGTTATTACAGTCTTAGAAAAAATGCTTAAAAAGTCTGCACCTGCTTTTAGCACAGAGATCCAGTGAGGAGCCTGTGAGTCAGCTGTGTGCTGGCCTGTGCTGGGGAAGGAGGGGGACCCTGGCCCAGAGCAGCAGGTGGTGGCAGTGGAGGGAACAGGAGGATCCGTTCTACGTCTGTGTCATGTGTGCCAGGAGAGAACAGGGAACCAGAGGCAGAAGGAGAGAGGAAGGGAAGAATAAATACTTTGTCCTCTCTGGTACCCTGCTCTTTCCCTACTTGAATCAAATTTCTTAACCTCTAACACACTAACAAATCGTTCAGGCAGCTGCCTCCTCCTCTGCTCCAGAATCCCAGCTCTTCATTCAAATCATGGTGGCTTATGCTTGGGTAAAGCCCTGCTTCCATCCTGACATGAAGAAAGAGACAGTAGGATCCCAAATTGAAGATTTAAAGAGCACATTTGTTTTTCCCATTGAAACTTTATTGTAATGGTCAGGTTTTCCATTTGAGATGTTATCGGGTAAACTGTTTCTGTGTGAAGGAAGTATTTATCCAAGTTCTAAGCTAGTAATTTACAAATGAACTTTTTACACTGCAGCCCATTCATAAATTGAGTATTACCTGTGTTTTCAAACAGTTGTTGCTATGTTTAAGTATAAGAAAATAAATGATGATAGAAATTTAATAGTTTTTTTTTTTAAGAATTCTGTCTTACATAATGTAGTCATTTTTCAAACCCAAAGACCATGTATTAATGGTTAAGCAGAGCCAGTTTCCTTCAGTAGAAAGACTTGACAAACAGCCATCTTGAAAATGAATTTGCTTGGTAATCGCTGTATAAAACTGTAGTGTCAGATCTTAGAACTAAGTGAAGCTTGGGCCAAGATAATTTTAATCCTCACGGCACATATCTAGGCATACTGACTCTATACAGCTAAACAAAAGCGGTAGTTGATTTTGTTTTGGGGGAGGAATGATGACTTTTTTGTTGCTGTTTGCTTTTTATCTATTAGATTGTGGAATTGATTAGAGATACATGACTCAATTTAAAGTTTGTCAACATGGAATGTCAAAATTTATTGTCTGTCTTTCATCATGTAGTTAATTGCACTTAAGCGGAAGATATTTCCCAGAAGGAGGGTACAGAAAGAAGCTAGTCCTGATCGAATCAGGGTATAGAAGATCATCATTTGAAAATCATCTACCTCAGCATTCACTGAACGTTTTAAAACTCAGCATCACAGAAATGTCTTCATGATGTAATTAATGCTTAGCCAGCTTGGCCTATAGGAGGAAAAACATCCAACACAATACTTGTTTTGTGTAAATAAAGCCTACTCATCACGATTTGTTTAACTAACACACTGAAAACTTGTGTGTTGAGCAGCTATGAATTGATTTTTACCTTTAAAGCCTTTGCTTAGGGACCTGATATTCTTTTAATGAAAAGGCTCACTGACAAGAGACACTGGTGAGATTCCATAGTAACCATTGCCAACTACCTTCAACATGAGAAGCATGGGAGTGATTGACAAGAGACCCCAGTTTTTGCATTCCAAACCTATTGCTATGGTTTTACATTTTTGCTTTTTTCATTTTTTTCATTTTCTCCATTTTCCATTTTAAAAATAAGTAGCTACTAAGTTAACTAGTTATTCTTGCTTCTGAAAATAATGACTTGGGATATCTAAAGATGTTTTTATAGATGTTATTTAAATACAGCAATATCACCTCTTATTGGCAATATCTTAATTGTGGATTTCAGTAACGTTTAAGGCGGTAAGTGGTGTTAAACCACTTAAAACTACTGATGAGCTCCATAACTGACATTTTACTATGTGCTTGTTTACTTTAGCCCCTAAGAAATTGCGATTTCATGTGGAGGTCTAATTACAAAGGGCTAGATTAAGTAGCAGAACTACTTTCCAGATGTAATTACATTTTGGAAATGTACATATTCGAACAGAAGTGCTCATTTTAGAAATGAGTAGTGTTGATGGTACTGGCATATCACAATGGTGTCTTTTTAATACTCATCAGTATATTCCAGCAGCTGTCTCTTCTAATTGGTTTTATATAATGCAGGGGTCAGCAAACCTTTTCTGTAAAAAGCCACATAGAAAGTATGTGCAGGCCACATGAGTCTCTGTTGCATATCCTTTTTTGTGGTTAGTTCAACTATTGTTGCTATTGTTTAACATTTAAAAAATGTCAAAACCATGTTTTGCTCAGTTATACAAAAACAGGCCATCAGCTGTATTTGGCCCACAGGCCATTGTTTGCTGACCACTGGGATAGAGAATTAGTGTTTTTATGTATGGGTAAGCCCTGATGTTCAGCCATATTTTATTTAGGTTATTTTACAGTGGATTCTGGAGGTCGCATTCTGTGAGTCCTTTTTGAACTCAACAGGTATTTTAAATCATGATTTCAACAGTATTCCTTCAAAATGGCATAACTGTTTTGTAAAAAGACTTGTAAATACTGTGTTTGTGCTGTAAAAGTTATGTTTCAAGACCCAAAGTCTCACAAAAAATTAATTTTGTCTGGTACTTTGATTTTTAAATCTTTGAGTAATCAATTTATTGTTATCCAGATTCAACAATCACATCAGTGCTTCTACAGTGTGTCAGGGTCTATGCTGAACATGACTGAAAATAAATGGAAAATAGTGTAAGGAAGGGCAGTAGTACAGCATACTGGGGAGTGTCATTTTATAGGGGAAAATGAGTTCTACATGGGAAAATGGTAAAAATGTATGGGATATCTGGGTATCATTCTTATATGTAAAGAATATTCTAGAAGAGTTATAAATAAATGAATATTTGGGTGTGAGGGAGATCTCTGTGGTTGGATGAATGTAGTCTGCATCTAATTAGGAGCTTAATAGATAATAGGGTGGATAACAGAATCATAGAATATCATTGAATCATTTTTCCAGTGATCCTGTGGAATCATTAGAACAGAGGAACGTCAAAAGTTGATGCATAGTCAAATACTTTAAAAAATTTTTAAAGCCTCCAAACCATTAGTTCAAATGAAATCCTGTTGAAGGCCAATATGTATATAGAAGAAGGAAAGCTGCTTATGCTGTTTGACCCCAAGGTGGTATCTACAAATTCCCAGGCCTCACAAGCAGTTTTGGAGTGACTGCCCAGACCACTGCCTGAATTTTATCATTGAGGACTCCAGGTTCAGGAAGTTTACAAGACTTACTCAAGGTCCCACAGCCAGTCCGAGGCAGAGGTGGGTTGGAGCCCAGTTTGTGTCTTCTTTCCCGTCCCTATCAGGCTATGCTACCTCCCCATGACATACTGGCTCTAAGCAGGTAAAAAACAAGTGTCTACAATCAAACTTCTGGGGTTTGAGTTTTGGGTCCTGGGCCTTGTTTGCTACAATTTAGTTTTTACTTCTAAAATGTGGGAGGCAACACTGGTGTTATGGTGGTGATGAAATGCAATGAGTCATGTAATGCATCCAAGCACTGTGCCTGGCCAACAATACTCCTGCCTGGTAAATGCCAGCAGTGATGATGGCAGAGATGATAGTTTGTGTGTAATGGCTTGTTACCAGGCCAGGGGTGAGATTTAACGTATAGCCAATAGAATGACATGATTACATTGCAGCTAAGAAAGTGACACAGTTTGTCATTAAGAAATCTTTTTCTTTATTTCTTCAAAGGTGTTGATTTTAAAATTATTTCTACCTATACCATAAAGTATACAAGTAATGACTAACAGATGAAGGATTTAAAAGGAAAGTGCACTCACAACTCAGGTCAAAACATTTAAGGAAGAAACAGTACCAATTCCACACACACAAAAATCCCCAGAATGTAGAAAAGAGAAGGAAAACACCGTCTAATTCATTGAGATAAACACAACTTCACACCAAAGCCTGGCTCAGTTCCCACAAAAAAGGAAAACCACAGGCCGTCTGTCTCAGAATCCTAAATGAAACACCAGCAAGTCAAATTCAGTTATTCCCACAGAAGCAATGCTTTATGATCGAGCTGAATCTACTCCAGGAATGAAAGTTTGGCACAACACTTAGAAATTAGTGCAATTTACATCAGGACTGAAAAGAGAAACTGCATGATGAACTCAGTGAGCCTTTCTTTCTCTAAAAAAGGTTATGAATGTTTTATAATCTCATTTAATCCTCACCACGTTGCCATTTTAACACTGGAGAACTCATTTTAAGTGCCTTGCCCATGGCCTAACAAGTGGCTGCACCAGCTTATGACCTGCCTTTCCAAAATTCACTCTTAGCCAGTAAGATATGTTTACATTGCAAGGGGAAAAAAATATAACTCAAGGAAAAAATGTAGAAGGATGCAGAAGACCAATGACCTGTCAGAATTTCACTCAACATGGCCCATTTCTGCTTTTCTCTACATGTCAGCTTTTCTCCCCATAGTGGGATCATGGCAGCTCCTGGCTCACATCCCCCAGAGAAGCAGAAAGCTTCCTCTCTGGCCAGTATGAAAATCCTGGTGGAAATGATTTGTTCATTGGCTTAGTTTGGGTTCTGTTCCCATTATCGTGGCCAGGGAGATATGGAGACTTACACCTCAAGAAGAGGGTGCTGGGCTGACGTAACAGCTCTAGCCTGACAGGATAAAGATACGATGCATGTGGAAAACTAAGTTCTTGGATTAATTACTCAAGTTGAAGGCAAGCTGCCATTCTTGAAAGCAATTAGAAAAATCAGATGTTAATTGGAATACAATGAGCCTTATACATTTTCCATTTTTGAAAGGATTCAAAGAAATGTTTGTAAAGCAATGTATGTACAGTACCTGACATATAATAAATGCTCCATAAATCATTCACAATTATGGCTATTAAGGTTCACAATTGGTCCCAAGTTATCTTTCTGATCTTCCTTCACCCTCTCCCAGCCACACACTGTACCAAGCACATCACATTTCCTCAAAGATGCTGTGCACTTGTATGCCTCTGTACTTGTGCAGATGCTGTTGTTATTGCTTGACCTGCCTTTTTCTTCATCTATCTGTTAAACTCCTACTTTTACTTTAGAGTCCATCATGAACAGTTGTAATGAGAAATTTTCTGAGACTGACAGTATCACCTTTAGTTCTTTGAGACAATAAGGAAATAGATGTAGTATTTAGACTTTCAAATGCCCTTGGTTTGTACACCACTGGTTACTAAAGAAAATGAGAAAACAATTTTTTAGGAATCTAGGCAATTGGAGTAAATGGACAATAATACAAGTAGGGGTGTATTAACTGTGGTTGTCTTGAGATCATTGCAGCATTATTTACAACGGCCAACATGTGGAAACAACATATGTGTCCATCAAACGAATAAATGGATAAAGAAGATGGTGGTGTACAGACACACACATACTGGAATGTTACTCATCCACAGAAATCTTCCCCATTTGTGATGACATGGATGGACCTTGAGAATATTATGAAGTGAAATGTCATACAGAGAAAGACAAATTCTATATGATTTCACTTAATATGTGGAATCTAAAAAGCAAAGCAAAACAGCAAATACAGAGAACAGGTGGTTATCACAGGAGAAAGATAAAGGTGGTCAATTATCTGGAGACAGTAACATTGTGACAATCACTTTGTAGTGTGTGTAAATATTGAATTATGTTGTATATCTGAAACTACTAGGATGTTACATACCAATTCTAACTCAATAAAAAATGAAAAAGAATGAGCAGAAACACTTGAACTAGGAGGTCTGAAAGTGTGATCAGGACAATAAAAGCACAAAGCCCTTTGTCTGACAAATCTTGGATAAAGGAAGTAGAACACATGATTCAAAAAAAAAATTGCAGATCTGGTATCAAAAACTAAGGCAGGGACATACAATGGGGAAATGACAGCCTCTTCAACAGCTGGTTTTGGCAAACCTGGACAGCTACATGCAAGAAAATGAAACTGGATCATTGTCTAACCCCATACACAAAAGTAAATTTGAAATGAATCAAAGACCTGAATGTAAGTCATGAAACTATAAAACTCTTAGAAAAAAACATAGGCCAAATCTCTTGGACACAAACATGAGCAACTTCATGAATGTATCTCCCCGGGCAAGGGAAACAAAAGCAAAACTGAACAAGTGGGACTATCAAGCTGAAAAGCTGTACAGCAAAGGACATCATCAATAGAACAAAAAAGGCATCCTACAGTATGGGAGAATATATTCATAAATGACATATCCGATAAAGGGTTGACATCCAAATAAAGAGCTCATGCACCTCAGCAAACAAAAAGCAAATAATCCAATTAAAAAACGGACAAAGGAGCTGAACAGACACTTCTACAAAGAAGAAATTCAGATGGCCAAAGGCCCACATGAAAAGATGCTCCACATCGCTAGTCATCAGAAAAATGCAACTGAGATATCACCTCACACCAGTAAGGATGGCCACCATCCAAAAGACAGACAACAACAAATGTTGGCGAGGTTGTGGAGAAAGGGGAACCCTGCTACACTGCTGGTGGGAATGTAAATTAGTTCAACCATTGTGGAAAGCAGTATGGAGGTTCCTCAAAAAGCTCAAAATAGAAATGCCATTTGACCCAGGAATTCCACTTCTAGGAATTTACCCTAAGAATACATTAACCCAGTTTGAAAAAGACAGATGCACCCCTATGTTTATTGCAGCACTATTTACAATAGCCAAGAAATGGAAGCAACCTAAGGGTCCATCAGTAGATGAATGGATAAAGAAGAGGTGGTACATATACACAATGGAATATGATTCAGCCATAAGAAGAAAACAAATCCTACCATTTGCAACAACATGAATGGAGCTAGAGGGTATTATGCTCAGTGAAGTAAGCCAGGTGGAGAAAGACAAGTATCAAACGATTTCACTCATATGTGGAATATTAAGAACAAAGAAAGAAAAAAACTGAAGGAACAAAATGGCAGCAGGCTCACAGAACCCAAGAATGGACTAATAGTTACCAAAGGGAAAGGGACTGGGGAGGCTGGGTGGGAAGGGAGGGATGAGGGGGGAAAAAAGGAGGCATTACTATTGGCGGACATAAATTATGGGGGAGGAGAGGGGCATGGGGAGGGTTGAACAACACAGAGAAGACAAGTAGTGATTCTATAGCATCAGTACACTGATGGACAGTGACTCTAATGGGGCATGTGGGGGGAACTTGGTTATGGGGGAAGTGTAGTAAACACAATATTCCTCAAAAAAAACTAAGGCAGCTTTTACAAAAGCAAAATATATATGTTTAAGTTACTTAGGGGAAAATAACATATATGCACAGAGAAAATGAAATATTACCCAAAACTTAAAATTGTGTATTATATCTTGGTAATAAAATTATAAGTGAATTTTAATTTTATAATTAATATTTATAATTAGAACAATTTAATAGTAAATTTTAGGTAAAATTTTGACCAATACTATATTTTTAGTGGAAAACAATGCTCTTTTTTTTGGTATCATTAATCTACAATTACATGAGGAACATTATGTTGACTAGACTCCCCCCATCACCAAGTCCCCCCCACATACCCCATTACAGTTACCGTCCATCAGCGTAGTAAGATGCTGTAGAATCACTACTTGTCTTCTCTGTGCTGTACAGCCCTCCCCGTGCACCCCCCTACATTATGTCTGCTAATAGTAATGCCCCCCCCACCTTTTTCCCCTCCTTATCCCTTCCTTCCCACCCAGCCTCCCAAGTCCCTTTCCCTTTGGTAACTGTTAGTCCATTCTTGGGTTCTGTGAGTCTGCTGCCATTTTGTTCCTTCAGTTTTTTTTTTGTTGTTGTTCTTATACTCCACATATGAGTGAAATCTTTTGATACCTGTCTTTTTCTGCCTGGCTTACTTCACTGAGCATAATACCCTCTAGCTCCATCCATGTTGTTGCAAATGGTAGGATTTGTTTTCTTCTTATAGCTGAATTGTATTCCATTGTGTATATGTACCACATCTTCTTTATATATTCATCTACTGATGGACACTTAGGTTGCTTCCATTTCTTGGCTATTTTAAATAGTGCTGCAATAAACATAGGGGTGCATCTGTCTTTTTCAATCTGGGTTAATGTATTCTTAGGGTAGGTTCCTAGGAGTGGAATTCCTGGGTCAAATGGTATTACTATTGAGTTTTTTGAGGAACCTCCATACTGCTTTCCCCAATGGTTGACTAATTTACATTCCCACCAGCAGTGTAGGAGGGTTCCCCGTTCCACAGCCTCTCCAACATTTGTTGTCTGTCTTTTGGATGGTGGCCATCCTTACTGGTGTGAGGTGATATCTCATTGTTATTTTAATTTGCATTTCTCTGATGATTAGTGATGTGGAGCATCATTTCATGTACCTGTTGGCCATCTGAATTTCTTCTTTGGAGAAGTGTCTGTTCAGCTCCTCTGCCCATTTTTTAATTGGATTATTTGCTTTTTGTCTGTTGAAGTGGGTGAGCTCTTTATATATTTTGGATGTCAACCCTTTATCAGATCTGTCATTTACGAATATATTCTCCCATACTGTGGGATGCCTTTTTGTTCTAGAAAATAGAATGCTTTTTATTAACCAACTCCAGGAAGCTAACTTTGAAAATCTATAAAATGCTTTGTGGTTCCATTTTAAGAGAATGTGGCATTCCAGTTCTTGTGTTTTTTAGTTTGGGTAAAGATTAAAATTTGAAACATGAATATAGATGAGTTCTCATTTGGAGCTAAAAAAGTAAAAAGATGACATCATCCACTCTTGATTATTCGTGGGGCAGAATAATTCATATCTTTCGTTCCATAATACCTTTCTGTTTTTCACATGTTTAGGTTTCCTAACATTTGAGAAAATGAAGCAATGGCATTAGTAAGTCACCAGATGGTGATGTTGAGCTGTCCTTGCTAAAGTGACAAAGTAAGTGTTTCTAAACTTTGGTCAGTATGACAATAACGAGGATAATTTATTTAAAATGTAGATTCCTCGTCCCCACCTACAGAGTTACTTTTGTAGGCCTTGGATGGTGCCTAGGAACCTGGATTTTAACACCCTTCCCCTCCTCTACCATCACTTAATCCTCTGTAAGTGATCTGAATACAGGCTGGCCCATGAACCACACTGGGAAACTTTGGTACTTGAAGCCAAAGGCCTTCAGGAACACAAAGGATAACCAGCTAAAAGATATAATGGAACCGGAAACAAACTTGATAAACTAACACCAGAAAAGATAAAACTATTTTAAAATACAGGAATAGCTAGGAAAATGCTGAAAAAGAATAGCTGTGAGCGGGAACTGGCTTACGAGATTCTGAAATATACCCATAATTGTCTAATTCAGAGTGGTATACTGATACATGAACAGATAGACCAGCTAGAGGAATCTAATAGAAAATCTAGAAGTTGACCCAACTCCATATGGAAATCTGTATGATAAAGGTGCTTTTCAAATCAGTGTAGACAAAGATGGACTTTTTAGTAAATGATGTTGGGATAACTGCATTGCCATTTGGAAAAAAATGAAATTAAATCTATTTCTCAACACTGTACAATTCTGTCTGCCCTTCAGTGTTTCTAATGGGGGTTGGTGAAAACAAAGTAAATAAATTACATACTATGTTAAAAAGTGGTTAGTGCCTAGAGAAAGGTACATGGGGAAGGGAATAGGGAAGGAGGAGAAATGAGGTGCAGAGTTTGCATTCACAGTATCTAACAGTGGGGCAGAGAAGACCTCATTGAGATGAATAATGGCGTTTAAACAAAGACTTGAAGAAGAGGGAGCAAGCCATGTGCATAGGCTTGATTCCAAACCAGACAGGGACAGTATGATAAGGGAATATTGCGAGTCAATCCCAGTCATGAAAATGGACACAAAATGTTGAGCAAACCAAACAGCAAACAGCAATGTGCTTGAAAAGTTACCACATCATGATCACAACTTGTGTTTATCATAGGATATATTATTTTGGCTTAACATTAAATATAAATCTTATATTAAGAAAAAATTAGAAGAGCTATGTCAATATTAAAAAAGAATTGAGTGGAATGCAGCACTCGTTTATGATCTAAAAGTGACAAGCAAGCAACAACTCTAAGCAAACTATGAGTTTCAAAAGGAGGAACTACCAAAAACCTACATACAGCATCATTATTAATAGAAACTTTAGAAGCATGACCTTTAAAATAGGAAAGAATGTCCAGTGTTGATGCTTCTATTCACCTTTGTACTAAAGATCCAAGCCAGTGTCTTCAGAAAAAGACCAAAAAGAAAAAAGAAAAAAAACCTAGGAATTAGAACAAAGACAAAAATGTCAATTATTCACAGAAGATACGATTATAAATTTCCAGCCTCTACAAATTATTAGGTAATAAAAATGTTTATCAAATTGCTGGAAATAGTAAGATCAATATCATTAATTTTTATATACCAGCAATAATTAGAATAAAATAGCAATAAAATATAAATTATAAATCTAATAAAGTGCAAAGCCTACATAGAGAAAAATTACTTAATTGAATTACATTAAAGAAGTTCTAAAATGGAACATATACTTCAAGAATAGGAAGACTTAGTTCTCTCCAAATTAATCTATAGATTGAATTGCGATTCCAATCAGAAACCAGCAGGGTTTTTTTCCATGGAACTTGGAAAACTGATTCTAAAGTTTTCTTGAAAAGCATAAGTTCGAGAATACACAGGGTAGTCCTGAAGAAAAAAATAAGGCGTGATACTTGTCTTATATGCCAGAGTTTTAATCACGCTGGGATGTTGAGAACTGGTTTTGGCACAGGGATGGACAAATTGAGCACTGGAATAGGCTAGACAAGAAGACTCAAAACATGGAAATGTGACATGAAATAGCTGTTATAAGGGATACACACACTGTTCAATAAATTGGTTTCCAGATAGGGGGAAAAAAGCAATTGTATTCTACCTGACACCAGGCACAAAAATCAATTCTAGATGAATAATACATGAAATGAAAAAACCTTAATATTTTTATGACTAGGCGAAAGATATATTTCTTTGAAGTTACAGAAAACAGTCATAAAGATGAATATCCAGCACATATAAAAACTTACAAATCAGAGGAACACGTACTACCCAAATGAAAAGTGAGCAAAAATCCTGAATATATAGTTTAAGGAAAAAGAAAAGCAAATGGTCAATAAGCATAACAAGAGCTTAATCTTAGGAATGATTGGAGAAATACAAAAGACCTTAAAGCAACACCGTTTTACACCCACTAGAATGGTAAAATTAAGAAATCTGTCTATACCAAGTGGTGATGAGTATATTGAACAATGGGAAACTCACTCTGTTGGTGGGAGTATTAACTGGAAATCAGTGGATCATTACTGAGTATCATCTAGCAAAGACCTTTCAACTTTACACCTACATTCTCTGTAGACACTGAAGCATATAGGCATGAGATTATTCATAGTAGCATTGTTTATGTAGGCTGTAATCTAAAAATAATCCACATGTCCACAGTTGAGAAAAATCAACAAATTTTGGAATAGAGTCACAATAGAAAATTATACAGCAGTGAAAATGACAGATTTTTCTCTAAGGGATGTAATGTTAAGGAGAAACTCAAGTGGTAGAATACTACATAGAATACGGTACAATTTTCCTACTGCTCAGACACAAACAAAACCAAGCAGGCTTGCTTAAGGACAAATATATGTGGTAATAAAACAAAATGGCAAAATGGGAAGGGTTGAAGATTTACACAAAGTTGAAGATTATTTTAATTGATATCGCCAAATAGGAAATGAGGGGATGGGATGGAGATGACTTCCGGAGGAGATTCAGTGAGTTCTGGTAAAATTTCTACTTCACAAATTCAGTAGCATTCATCATGCTTTAAAACACATACGCTTCTGGAACTTTCAAATATCTTTGAAAATTTAGACTTAAAAAAAAAAAAAACACTGGGACGCAAATGGGCCTCAAACGTGCTAGGCCCAGGCCTTGGCTCGCAAGGTGCATGGGTCAGCCGTCTGAAACGTTAATCACTGGAGGGGCTGGAGACCTGCGACACGCCGCCGCACGCATGCGCTCTGCGATTGGCCAATCAGCGTCGCCCCTGGGCAAGGCGTCGAGCATCGTGGCTGCGAAGCAGATTCTTCAGGTGAGGAGCGGCGGTAGGGAGGAGCTGCGGGCGGAGTCTTTCCTGACTGTGGTCCTTGGCCACTGCGGTTTTTTCAGTCGTGAGGAGGTGACGAGTTTGTTCAGCGCTGGAGTCTAAGTTAGAAGCTTAGACTGAGGTAAATTTTTCCCCTTGGCTCTACCTCGGGCCTCTGACGGGGGAATGGAGGCAGCGAACCTCACAGCGGGCCGGGCCTTGCGCGCGGGGGCGGTGGGAAGCCGCGGGCTGAGCTGGGGCCCGCAGGTCGCGAAGCCCTTGGTAGGCTTACAGCCGGGAGGAGGCGGGAGGAGGGGGTCCTTGGTCTGCGCCTCTCCTTTTGCCCGCCCCAAACCCGTCAGAAATCATTAAAATGAGCTAAGAGCTCTTCTCACTTGGTCCTCGATGTCCGTGTGGCGGAAGTCAGACACGGACATTTTCTCCCAAGGCACGGATCGCAGAACTTTTTAATTTTATAATTATGTTGCTCTAAACCTCTGTGGCACGTTCAGGCCCCATCCTGGCAACAGCTACGATTCGTTTTTGTGCCTGAAATGCGAAAACCAGATTTGGCCATATTTAGCCAGAGTTTGGCAGCGGCGGGGCTGAAGTTCAGATCTCAGTCCTCAGCTGCCAGGCCGCCATCACGGCGCGCCTGGAGTCAGGGTCGCCGCTGCCCTTAACCTTTGTTGTTAACTGTTGGTCAACAAAATAAATGAGGAGACTTCTGAAATGTAACTCAGCTAAAATCATTTTCATTTGACAACTGTCATTTCGAAGTTTGCCTATATGAGTGATATTTTTGGGTTCAGAAGGGTTGAGACATTTAATTGTTTAATTTAAGTCGGAGAATAGCTGAATATGGTGCCTTCTGGAAGAAAACATCCCGCGAGAAGGGGAAAGACAGCAGTGGAGGGTAAGGTTATGCGAGCCAATGACTTCAAGGACGAAGTTAAGAAAGTTGTGAGTGGTTCCCAGGAGGATGTCATTGAAGGTACAGTCAATCTAGTATCAGTGGGCAGGGACCCTGTCTTGCAGTTCATTTGTTCTTAATCGCCTACATTTTAGCTCTAATAAACCTTTGTAAAGCATTTTGTTGTTCTTCATGTCTCTTATTTGGAGTTAGAGAAGCTTACGTAGCTTTATTCTCTTGCGTTTGCACTCAATTTTCTTCCCCAAATGTCTGATAAATTGTACCCGGTTTATTACGACCTTAACACAGGACCACCTGCAAAATGGTTTCTGTAAAGTGGCCCTGGGTCCTGATTTAATTCCATCTAAACTGCAGAAAAACTATTGGATTTACATGCCTACTTTAAAATCTTATGTTGGCAAAAAGCTTGAACAACCTCAAACTTAAGATATCACTCCATTAAAAATTACCAAAATGACATAGTTTTAAAATGTTTTTCTTTTTTATTGTCAATACAGGGAAGACTACAGTAATTGATAAATGCGGGAAGAAAAGAACTTCTGAAGGAATAGTTGAAGATTCAGGGTAATGTGCTCAAAATGATTTTGCGTGTTAGATAATTTACTAAGTTTACTTTAGTCCTGTGAGTATTGTGTGTAAAATACTGTGTAATATTTCTTGCAAAACGTGTTATTTTATGGATGATTAATGAAAAAGCTTTTAATTGCAATTTCTTCACAGGGGTAAACTACAGAATATGGTAGAAAGACTTACAGGTATGCTTTAGGAGATCATTTGTATTTAAAGAAAGTAGTTTTAAACTGTATAACTTGTATAATAGGGAATGTTAATCAGTGGACTATAAGACTGTTATATAATGCCTTGTTTTCATGTATAAAATTTTGCATGAGATTCAGCCTCATAGAATTCCTTACTTAACCTTTTCCAAATGTTGATGTGAAGAGTAAAGATGTTACTAACAATAAAGAGGTAAAGATGCTTTTATTTTATACATGTGTGAATTTAGAAGACTAGAATTTTAGGACAATATTGGATAGAAAAGTCGGTGTCCCTCTTTGTATGGGTTTTCATGAAGTGATACAAACACACACACATCTGTATATAGTAGTTTTTCATTTTCTTAATTTAGTTATTTTCTATGACATGCCTCTGTTCTCTTCTTTAGGACGGGCAATGTAAATTGACGCTTTTAAAATAAGTATTGTTATTGTTACGTTATTAAACTACACAGTTGCGAAAGACAACATTACTAATTAGTAAGAAATGTTTAAAAGTTCATAAGCTTTAAATGGTATGTTAAATACCAGTTATATTAACAGTGTTAGGGGATAGTACTCGTCAAGTATTTGGTTCCTCCATATAGATTATTCATACAATTAAGTCTTCTTTGAAAACTTTACTCTGTGGTGGTAAAAGCTTGTTTTGTAGTATGTCTGAAACGTTTATTGTTAGAGATGGTTGTTGGAAATATAAACTATTTACATAATAGTGCAGCTCCATCATGATTACTGAAAAATAACTATTGATGGTAGAACCATATGCATGTTTAGTGAAACACTATTTGAAGTATTAAAAATTTTATGAAATATAGTACTTATAGGTAAAAATGCCCTATAAAAAACTCTGTGGAAGTATTTAAAAGGGCTTTTCAATGATTTTGTCTGGATATTTACTTAAGATTATCCTATGCTTAGTTCTTAGTGAAAAGTATATTTGGAAGTATCACTGTGTTTTTTAAAAATAATTTTTAATTCTTTAACAATTTTTATCCTTTTGGATTTTTTCAAAAATAGTTTTGTGTGTTTCATAGAATGAGTTCTAACAGTAATTTATCTAAATGTGCTCTTTCAGTTGGAGAGTATTTTAGAAATTATGAAAAATTTAGCCTTTTTTTAAAGTGTTTTTTTGTGAGGAAATTAAGCTGTGCCCTTGAGACCCTTTCTTTCATTTTTAGCTCTTTTTAATCTCTAAATTAAATTCTCTCTAGTTAGGAAAATCAGAATTGGGTTACTAGTGACTCAAATTTTTCTCAGAAAAAGAAGTAAGCAAATAATCTTGCATTTGATATTACACCTATTTTAAAATTTAATTTTAAATGTCTTTCAAAAATTACTGACCAAGCTTTACCCATGTTTATTTGAATATGTGGAAACAAAAGTTTTCTTCAACATTCAATTTTAATGATAATTTATTTTCAACATAGATGGCATTAATAAGTCTCTTCTTGCCAAGAGAAAAAGACTAGAAATATATGGCAACGCTTCTTTCAAAACCAGTAACCAGAAAATTGAACATTTTTGGAAAACCCAACAAGAACAAAAGTAAGGATGTTGTTTTTTTTCACAGCCACAACATTTATATGATTTCCTAATTATTCATTGCTGCAAATTAAGAAAAATACAATCATCTTCTATTTATTGGGGTCTCTAGTAAAAAACATATTTGGCTTCATTTTTCTTTTAAGTCTTTCAGTCCTGTAAACTCACTCCTTCATCGACTTGAGACATATTTCCTAGAAATCAATAAAGACTACCTTTTCCCAGATTTAAAAAGCAGTTGAGGTTTTTTTATAGTATAAATGTAATTTTTATTCATTCTAGAAATATACTAGTTGAATAAGAAGTAATTGTCATATAAACCATAGTCTTGTAAGAGTTAACTGTTTAACAATGTAGAAAAAGATAGTCGAATATTATAAATAATTTGTATATATTAGCTGAATTAACTTTTCTTTTGTATAAAAATCATTGTTTTACCAAAATGGGGAGAAATCAAATGAAATATTTCTACTTGGAAATCTTATAAATACAGTAATCTCATAAATTTATGTCAGAATGTATATTCAGTTGGAGGAAATGAAGAATAAACTAGAGATAAAGTGGACTTTGCTAGGAAGTTTATATATACAATGAAACTTCCATAGTTTTCAGGAGCTAAAGCATATGAGAGGGCTTTTCTGTTAGCTGGTTAGGAAAAGAAATACTTCTGAAATCAGCTACAATATTGGATAGAAAAGTCGGTGTCCCTCTTTGTATGGGTTTTCATGAAGTGATACAAACACACACACATCTGTATATAGTAGTTTTTCATTTTCTTAATTTAGTTATTTTCTATGACATGCCTCTGTTCTCTTCTTTAGGACGGGCAATGTAAATTGACGCTTTTAAAATAAGTATTGTTATTGTTACGTTATTAAACTACACAGTTGCGAAAGACAACATTACTAATTAGTAAGAAATGTTTAAAAGTTCATAAGCTTTAAATGGTATGTTAAATACCAGTTATATTAACAGTGTTAGGGGATAGTACTCGTCAAGTATTTGGTTCCTCCATATAGATTATTCATACAATTAAGTCTTCTTTGAAAACTTTACTCTGTGGTGGTAAAAGCTTGTTTTGTAGTATGTCTGAAACGTTTATTGTTAGAGATGGTTGTTGGAAATATAAACTATTTACATAATAGTGCAGCTCCATCATGATTACTGAAAAATAACTATTGATGGTAGAACCATATGCATGTTTAGTGAAACACTATTTGAAGTATTAAAAATTTTATGAAATATAGTACTTATAGGTAAAAATGCCCTATAAAAAACTCTGTGGAAGTATTTAAAAGGGCTTTTCAATGATTTTGTCTGGATATTTACTTAAGATTATCCTATGCTTAGTTCTTAGTGAAAAGTATATTTGGAAGTATCACTGTGTTTTTTAAAAATAATTTTTAATTCTTTAACAATTTTTATCCTTTTGGATTTTTTCAAAAATAGTTTTGTGTGTTTCATAGAATGAGTTCTAACAGTAATTTATCTAAATGTGCTCTTTCAGTTGGAGAGTATTTTAGAAATTATGAAAAATTTAGCCTTTTTTTAAAGTGTTTTTTTGTGAGGAAATTAAGCTGTGCCCTTGAGACCCTTTCTTTCATTTTTAGCTCTTTTTAATCTCTAAATTAAATTCTCTCTAGTTAGGAAAATCAGAATTGGGTTACTAGTGACTCAAATTTTTCTCAGAAAAAGAAGTAAGCAAATAATCTTGCATTTGATATTACACCTATTTTAAAATTTAATTTTAAATGTCTTTCAAAAATTACTGACCAAGCTTTACCCATGTTTATTTGAATATGTGGAAACAAAAGTTTTCTTCAACATTCAATTTTAATGATAATTTATTTTCAACATAGATGGCATTAATAAGTCTCTTCTTGCCAAGAGAAAAAGACTAGAAATATATGGCAACGCTTCTTTCAAAACCAGTAACCAGAAAATTGAACATTTTTGGAAAACCCAACAAGAACAAAAGTAAGGATGTTGTTTTTTTTCACAGCCACAACATTTATATGATTTCCTAATTATTCATTGCTGCAAATTAAGAAAAATACAATCATCTTCTATTTATTGGGGTCTCTAGTAAAAAACATATTTGGCTTCATTTTTCTTTTAAGTCTTTCAGTCCTGTAAACTCACTCCTTCATCGACTTGAGACATATTTCCTAGAAATCAATAAAGACTACCTTTTCCCAGATTTAAAAAGCAGTTGAGGTTTTTTTATAGTATAAATGTAATTTTTATTCATTCTAGAAATATACTAGTTGAATAAGAAGTAATTGTCATATAAACCATAGTCTTGTAAGAGTTAACTGTTTAACAATGTAGAAAAAGATAGTCGAATATTATAAATAATTTGTATATATTAGCTGAATTAACTTTTCTTTTGTATAAAAATCATTGTTTTACCAAAATGGGGAGAAATCAAATGAAATATTTCTACTTGGAAATCTTATAAATACAGTAATCTCATAAATTTATGTCAGAATGTATATTCAGTTGGAGGAAATGAAGAATAAACTAGAGATAAAGTGGACTTTGCTAGGAAGTTTATATATACAATGAAACTTCCATAGTTTTCAGGAGCTAAAGCATATGAGAGGGCTTTTCTGTTAGCTGGTTAGGAAAAGAAATACTTCTGAAATCAGCATAAATCATAATTTTACTTCTTGGGTGATTTCATCTCTGAAAACTTAAGGGGCTCTCTTTTCCTTTATTTGTTACAGTGTAAATTATGGCAAATCAATTTTTTCTCATATTGGTATGAAATATAACAATATTCATTTTTATGTTTTATAGGCAGAAGCTTAACCAAGAATATTCTCAGCAGTTTATGACTCTATTTCAGCAGTGGGATACAGATTTGCAAAAAGCTCAAGAACAAGAAGGAAAACTAGCTGTTAGTATTATGCTTAGCTTTATCATTAATGTATTATAACCAAATGACAAGTAGGAATGGAGAGACTAGCCTTGTATAGAAGTGAAACTCAGCCAGGTTCCATTACCATTGCTGGCTATGTGTTTTGGTTCCACTGAATGGTAAATCAGAGAGGTCAGGCACATACCATGCTCATAAAAGCTGTTGCTCTTTGCTTCCTGTATTGGTTGGTGTTCTTGCACTTCCAAGTGACAGAAATTGTCAGAGTAAAAAGGATTAATTGTTTATATATAAGAAGTCCAGGGGTGGGTTAGCTTCAGGCACTGCTGGATGGGAGTGGGAAGGGTTGCTCGTGTAGGTCATCTGGGCTCTGTCTCCAGTTCTTAGTCTCTCTCAATATGTTAAGCAACATAGCTTCTTGTGATGCTAGATTCACTACAAATTTAGTAGTACTGGTGGACTAAGGTAGCTTCTTGTGATGCTAGATTCACTACAAATTTAGTAGTACTGGTGGACTAAGGTAGTCTTTAAGCCCTCTGAAGGAATATCATGGGATCATTTGCTCACTTCTAGACATGGTCAAAAAACGTGGTTTCCTGTTAATAGCCAGATATGTGTTACCTTCTCATCTTTATGGGTGATGGAAGTCAGTCCCACTTACATACCGGATAACTACATTAATTATCCTTCCATACATTAATTATCCTTTCATGTCATCCTTTCATTGTTTGTAAAATTATCATGTTTTCTATCTAAGAGCAAAGGTATTGTTCTTATCAGATGTTTTAGGAGTTGGTTGATCAGCTCAGTTTTGGAAATGTTAAATTTAAGATACATGTGAAACATCCTACAGGAGATGTTAGGCCATTGATGCATGAGTCTGGAGTTCTGGAAGGAGATATGGACTGAACATACAAAGTTGGGAATTCTCAACATAAAGACAGCATTTAAGCTGTGAGAGCACCAAGGGAGTCATTATAAATGTAAAAGAGAAATCTAAGGACTGAGGGCTGGAGTAAGGACTTCATTGTTGAAAGGTCAAGAAGGTGAGGGAGAACCAATAAAGGAGACAGAATGAGTGACCTAATAGATAGAAAGAAAGCCACTCTGACCAAAGTGAAAGAAGCCTTTTAAGAAGGACAGAGGATAGAAGGGGTAATTGCCGAATTCTTGAGAATGGAAGGGAATGTGAAAAAGCTGACCTTAGCAGGAAGCAAGGATAGTTCATCCTCAAAAAACAGGAGACAGGGTCGAACATGTGAGCACAGGTGGATGTAGGTGAGTAGATAGATATTGTGATGGGAGTTCTCGTGGGATTGCTTCTATTTCTTTAGTGAAATAATGTCATCAGAAGGTGGAAAGATTTTGAGGTCAAATGAGAAGGTATAAAAGACTTCCCTGAGAGTGGGCCAGTGAGTGGAGAAGGGAAATACAATTTCCAAAGAGGATTAAGGGTCCAACTTAGGCTAATGAGCATAGTGATCGTGATTAAAGTGAGCCTGTCAGCATAGCTTTGAGGTTTTCTCCAATAGTGACCAGATTCAAGGATGCAGGCATGGTAGCTGGAGGGTTGGATTTTCCAGAGTTGGGGTTCAATCAAGTAAGTGTGGCAGTAAGAATGGAGCAAGGCATATGTACAAAGGAGTAATTATAATTACTGATGATAGAATTTAAGCTGGGAATGAGGAAGGTGAAGATACACTAATAGGGATAGGAGGCAGTGAAAAGTAGGTACGATGAATGAATTTAACATCTTGGTAGAGCTCATTGAGCTGTGGTAGTAAAGAGAGTGAGCTAAAATGCTCCTATGCTAGTGAGTGAAGAGTGGATATGGAGAAATAGCGATTAATGTTTAGAGCCTGGATTCTGGAAAAATAGTGTTTGGAGTCACATTCTGGTTGGACCAAATGCTAGCTGTGAAACCATGGAAAAATTATTTATCTTTATGCCTCAAGTTTCCTTATCTATAAAAAGGGATATAATAATAGTAACAATCTCACAGTTGTTTTGAGGATTAAATGAGCTCCTATATAGTAAGTTTGTTTAAAAGTTCAGTAGTACCTGCCACATAGTTAATATGAAGTTTGCTATTATTAATACTATGTGGAGATTACATTTATTGGGTTTAAGTATATAAATGAATGGCTGAAGTGGTGGAGGAGAGAAATCATTGGTAGAAAATAGGCCAACAAATGGAAGGATCAGCATTATTGTAAAGATTATCTGTGTTTTAGTAAAAGCACCAAGATTTAGGATGTTTTGAGTATTAAGTTTTCCTACTCAATGACCTTTAGGATTATTGTCTTTTTTTTTGTGGTGAACACAAATTATCTAACCTTGCTCATAATAGTTGAAACAAAATGTTAAAAGTAATGATTTTAAAACTGTTCCTTTTAAGCATAATGTAGAATTATTTTTTGCTAAGTTTTATATTTTACCCAAATTGTTATCACATGACTTTTTCTTTTATATCTGTAGAGCATATTTCAGCAGCAGCAAAAGATTTTTCAACAATCTAGAACTGTTCAGAGCCAGAGGTTGAAAGCAGTTAGACAGTTATATGAACAGTTCCTAAAGGTCTGTATTTTTAGTAGTATACTGCATTCTCATAACACAATTTTTATATGGAAGTATAAATTTTTTCTAAGTTTAAACACTGCTTATTTTAAATTCTTGATTTTCTGTTTTGTATTCATTTCCATATTTATTTCAGTGCTAAATGAATTTCTACTTTAACATTCTAATGTTTTTGTGGGGATTATTCAAAAGAGGTAATGGCAAATTGGGAATTTCACCTAAAAATGTATATATTGCACATAAAATTTGTACTTCATTAACACCTTAGTAATATTTCTCTCAACTGAAAATAAGTCCATAAATAATTTCTGGGTAATCTTTTACTTATCTCTGTATCCCCAGTATTTGTTAAATAGAAAGTACCCAGTTGAAGTTGATGAATATTTCTTTTATTTTCAAGGGTCCTATATATGTACTTTAAACCCTATTTGCCTTTAGGATTATTATAGTGTCTAAAAAAGGCCTTATATGCCAATTTATAAGAGATGGCGCAGACATATAATAGAATGAAAAAGCCAGGTGATTAAAAATTTGTAGATTGAGAATTATCTTCTAACACATGCTTATTATTAGCAAATTGTGGTCTGTGGCACTGATCTCTTATTCACGAATATATGTATTTACTTTTGGGTAACTGTTCGTAGGAGTATATTGGAATCCTGCATATACTTTTTTTTTTTTATGGGAGGGTTTTTCAGATAGATGGTCTTGTTCAAATACATGTTAAAATGTAACCCTTCTAAAGGACTTGGGATGTTCTGAGTACACTAGTAAAACAGTTTTAAAACTAATATTTTTAAATAACTTTAATATATATATGAACACAAGTTATTTTTTAAAGTGCTTCCAGTCAGCTTGTTCTAATGCTTCGTAAAAACGACCTGTTAATTGTCACGAAAGTTTAATAAAGATTTCTAAGTGTTATCACTAAATGTTACCACTTTAGTGTAAGAACTTTACTTTTATATTTGACTCCTCCATTTCCCTTTCACTTCACATCCAATTATAGTTAGGTCTTGTAATGTTCTCCTCTGCAGTGGTTAATTCCCACTGGTACTGCTTGAGTTCAGAACCTCATCATTCTTTGTTTATAGTATTAAAACTCTTAACTAATTTCTCTCCAATCCACCTTCATAGATCCATGATATTATCTTCCTAAAACATCTCTTCCCTCTTGAAAAACTGTCAGTAGCTTCTAATACTAAATTCTTAGGTATTCAAATGCAATCCCCACCCAGCTGCAATAATCTGATCCTCTTTACCCTTTAATTACTACATTCCTCCATTACTCCCCTGACCCTGCAACATAATTGCTTTCTCTGAACTCCTTCACTGTGCCCTTCCATGCCTTTGCTTATGCTTTAGGCCCTAGAATACTATTAACTCCTTTTAATCTATTGAAATCTTATTCTTTTGCCAACTAAATTAGAATTAATTCCCATTTTCTATTACAAAATCATAGCAAATTGCATTTCTATTCCTATTAAAAAATTTTGTGTTATTTTGTTTATATATGTTTCTTACTGGAATAAAGGAGTGATCAGGTATTATTTTTTTCATATCGTATATCACTTGACATAGTACTTTTTACATAATAAGCATTAGGATCATTGTTGGATAAATAATAGTAAAGATTTGTATTTCATAAATCGAAGAAATAGTTATACTATAGATCATTTTATTCCCTTCAATAAATTCATATCACATTGACTATTTACTGGTTATAATATTCTAACAGAACATAGCAATGTAATGTTGAGAAAACTTTTTAGATGTTTTCAAAATTACAGTATTCTCTTTTGGTTTTTTTGCCTAACAGTTCATTAATCCATTGTTTTAAGCAAAGTACACTGTTGTTATATACCTCCTATAATAATATTTGACTCATGCCTGGCCTTTTTTTATTCCTTTAGTGGGTATTTTGGTTTTCATGTATTAGAATATTTTTATTTGGAATCAACCGTGAACATTTTTTAAAAAGTTCTTACTTTTGAAAATTAATTATAGAAGTTTATTTTTGTGGTTTGTAATGTAACTAGCCTTTTCGGTTTTAGAGTACGGAGGACTTAGAGAAGAATCATGATAATCTGCTTATTGGCGCACAACGTGAATTTAAGAAAGACATGGCTTTGTTGCAAAAAAAAATTATGATGGAAACTGTAAGTTATATTTAAAATTGAAAAAATGAGGATTAATATGAGCATTGAAATATTTCATTTGTTGAAATATGTATAACACTTGCCTAAACAAATGTTTTATATCTCCTTTCATGTAACAGCAGCAGCAAGAGATGGAAAATGTTCGAAAGTCTCTTCAGTCCTTCTTATTCTGATGACTCTTTGAAGGAAGAATATGAACCTAAGTAATATGATACAGTTATAACATTGGCTAAGAGGCATTAAGTCCTTAGAGTGGTTCAAAATTCTAGTTTAAAGTATTACATCTTGTTAATCATTAGCTTATGTGTAAGACTCCTTGTTCTGTTACCCTCCAAATAAAATCTGAACAGTTATGTGAATAGCAGCAATTCCTAAATTACATGTACCACGCTCTCAGCTCTTTAATAGCAGTAAGTGGAATTTTTCCTTTAACATTTTTCAATTAACTTTTAGCAATAAAGATTATTTAACTTCAGGTTTTGGCTTCAGTGTATCTGAATCAGTCCCAAAAGGTAGAAAGCACAAGTACAGAGGTTATATTGTTCTTTTATTTTTTTATTTTTATTAGTATTTTTTCATTTTGCTATCATTAATGTGCAATTACATGAACAACATTATGGCTACTAGACTCCCCCTATTATCAAGTCTCCACCACATACTGCATTACAGTCACTGTCTATCAGTGTAGTAAGATGCTATAGAATCACTACTTGTCTTCTCTGTGTTATACTGCCTTCCCTGTGTACCCCCTGCCTACATTATATGTGCTAATC